GCGGACACCACACACACCTACCGACCGCCTGCCGCGGGCCCGGGACCAGGACGGCCCGCACCGACGCCCTCGTCCTGCGAACCGGACACTGGGTTTTCGCTCGTTTGGGTTGGGTCGTGCGTGGGAGCGGTTTGGGGAAGGGCAGTGACACTCGGCAGCCTGGGTCCCACGCCGAGCACTCGGGGGAGGAGGAGGAGACGGTGGGGCGTGGGGACGCCACGGCCAGGGCGGGCGGGGCCCAGTCACCACGGCCACTAGGAGCCCCCGCCACCGCGGGCCAGAAACAGAAGTGGGCAGAGACTCGCTCCCGGGGCAGAGACTCGGTGAGCCCGGCCCTGGGTGAGTGTGCTCTGTGCCCCCGTCTGTGCGTCTGTGTGAGAGGCCACGGCCACCCTCACACTCCTCACCACGGCGCGCCAAACGCTACTTCCCGGCTTGAACTTATTTTAAATCGGCCCTTCTTAAGTTAAAAGCCTCTCTGCAGCAAACTGCATTTCTTAGGGTTTTTTTTTTTTTTTTAAAATAAATGCTGTAGTGTGCAGTTCATGAAGCTTTTATAGATGCTGAAATCTAAACAGAGCACCAGGTTCTGGCCTGGGCAAGGACAAGTGCACTTAGCAGGCCTCGGGGAACGTCTGCGATGTGCAGCCTGGAGTCAGCCACCACTGCGCCCGCCGCACCCCCGGTGAGGGCTGTGGGGGACAATGCGTGAGACCCGCGCTGAGCGCTTCGGGAAGGAAACTGGCGTGTGTGTGTGTGTTTGTGTGTCTCTGTGTGTGTGTCTGTCTCTGTGTGTCTGTCTCTGTGCGTATCTGTGTGTCTCTGTGTGTGTCTGTGTGTGTGGATGTGTGTGTGTGGTCACAGCCACAATTAAACACAACCCTCTAATTCCCCATTGCTCAACAACACCTCTCCAGTGTCATGAATTTGGCACTGGAGGGACAATGCGTACGGTTTAGTTACGGCCACCTGCGGTCCGTGGGTCCCCACTGAGCCGCCCACCCGGCCTCGGCCTCACGTGTGCAGAAGGGTCTGCGCCCCCCACCTCCCGGCAGAGGCATTCAGGGTCGCGCATGTCACCGGCAGCAGGGCCCTGTGGGTCTGGGGCAGGTGCTCGCTGAGGCCCAGCGGGCCACGTGCAGGGGCGTGACAGGTGCCGGAAAGCCCGCGGCCACGCCTGGGTCTCAGGCACGGCCACCACGCCCATGCCTGCAGACGCTCCCGCACGCTCCGCCATCCCCAGGGAGGCGTGCCAGCTGCAGAATGAGATGGTTTTTCTAACCAAACAGAGGGGTCTCTGGGAGGACCCTTTGAAGCGAAGGACATGACTCATCTGCGCCCGCAGTGTGGCGGCCGGACCTGCCAGGAACTTCTGTCTTGCGAGAGCCACACGGACACAGAGCCCACGCGCGCTCCCAGCAGGGAACGCGGCGCCGGCTCAGAAACCAGACTCGGGCCGAGGGCAGGGGGAAGCGCGAAGTCTGTGCATTTGCTACTGTGAACCGCAAGGGCAGCGAGGTCATTTCCGAGAACCGGGTGTGCCGCACAAGGGGGTGAACCGCCTGCCCCGAAACAGGAGAAGCCGCAGGGTGAGCAAAGCTCCGCTCGGCCCTCGGACGTAGCCTCCCCGCGCCCGCACCATCGCTGGGAAAGGAAGCCCCGGCAAAGCGCAGGAAGGACGAGCCTTCGGAGGAAAGGAGTATCTCGGCCCACGGTCAGAATTCTAATTCTTCGATTCGTTTATTTTGAAATGGATGTAGCAGGTTTTTAAGAAGGTATGTGGCATACGCAATTAAAAGTCCTCTACGTCGGAACACACACCAGGACGTTCTAAAGGACAGAGCCCAGAGCCCAGGGTGGGACCCACGGCCTCGGGCCGATCCCATCAGAGCTCTGCCTCAGGAAGGGGACCAGGCAGCCCCCCGGGACTTCTCCCCTGCAGGGAGCTGCCCTCAGGACAGGGACCGGAGTCAGGTAGGGGACAGACAGAAGCAGGTCCCGATGGGGGCCAGTCCGGGAGCATTTTTAGAGCCAATGGCCTCTGATCACAATCAGCTTAGATTGGGCTTAAACTGGTTACTGAGGTGGTGAAAACAGCCACATCTGGCCCACGTCTGCAGCTGAGCACACAGCGGCTTCTAGAAGTCGGAGAAGGAATCACTGGTTGGGGGGAGAGGGCGGTCTCTTAAGAAAAAGGCTGACAAGGATGTCAGGTGATTTGCAAGCTCTTCAAGTCACTAATTCCAGGTCGTCTCAACAGATGAAATTTTAAGAGAAAGAACTTCCTTTCAAAAACAGCTCACGTTGAGCAGAATTTCCACCCAAAGCCACCTCCCTTTGAACAGTGTCCTTTTTGTTTCTCGGCCGGGGTCCCAGTGACGGTCACGGCCAGGCGCCCGCAGCACGCTGCGTCAGGTTCGTGGGTGTGAGCGGGTCCGCGAGCCTTGGGGCTTCTGACCTGCACGACCCTCACTGGCCTCCTGGCTCCTTCCCCGGGCTCTGTCCCGCCTCGCCACCGGGCCGCCCGGCTGCGTGTCCTCCGTCAGGCAGATGCGGAGCAGGAGAGCAGGAGTTCCAGAGTTTGCATGGCACGCACAGACACGTTACATTTTAATACGCGTTCATTTACATACTGTACACAATCAGACATGAAGTATCCCAAATGTGTTGCTCTGGATCAGAAGCGAGCTAAGTGTCACCTTAGGAGGTTTAAGAGGTTTGAGAGTCCAAGACCCAGAGTTTATCTGGCAAAACTTGTCTGTCCATGATCAAGAATATCCTGTTAGTGACCAACTAGTGACCAAAAGTCAGCGTTGGAAGGGACAAGAGAAACAGTTCCAGAAGATTCCATTTCTTAGCAGAGGCAGAATAGGGCAGGCAACATTTCCGAGCAGAGCTTGCCACGCCTCACACGCGCAGTGTGGTTTTACTTCTAATCAGACAAGGGGCTGCGGCAGCGGGCTTGATCGAAGCTCTTAAAAAAGCACATGAAGAACAATCTAGCGGAAAGCGATTAATATCGAAAGGGTCAATCCATGCCCCGTTCGACAGGCCCGCGACTCAGACGCAAGGGGACGGGTGGGCGAGTGCCGTTCTGAAAAGGAGCAGGGAACAGCGTCATGACCCGCGTGCTCCCGAGCCTGAAGCGGCATCACGCAAAAGCCGGTCCATGTTAGACTTCTGACTGCATGCATTTAACTGAAATCCTAGTTTGAAGATCCTACGTAAAAACGAACCATTTCAGAAAACTGGTTGTTTAAATTTCTAAGAAAGGGTCGATCGAAATGGGGTCTCCTTGTTGCAAAGACGAGATTAGAAACGAGCGTGGCTTCTAGATCAGCCCCAGCTGGCAGAAGGCACCGCCCTCTGGAAGACGAGGCCAGAGGGGACGGGCCGCGGGGACACTGCGCTGGAGGACGGGCCGGCGAGCCGCTGCCCGCAAAGATGCTGACGTCAGAACACCGCGCCCGCTCCCAAGACGAAGGAGAGGAGAAGACAGTGCTGGCCCTGGAGAGCGCTGCGTGGGCCCTCGGAGCAGCGGGGGCGTCAAGGGGCGCGCCCCACGTCTGCAGCCCCCCGGCAGAGAACGAGTCTGGTCTCTGGGGGGCTGGCGCCCTGACCGCTCCGAGGCCGTGTGGGACACGAGCCACGTGGCTGCCCGCCGGCCCCCGCTGGCCCGCTGGGACGGCTACGCCGCCGTGTTCTGACGCGTCGCCAAGGTCCAAGAGCAGGGAACCGCGTTTCGACCGTGAGGGGGACACGGTCTCAAGTCATGGACAAGATGCCGCAACCGAGAAGGTGGAGCCGTTCTGGCTAATTCTGCCCACTGCGAGGTTCTAAGGGCCACCGGTCCAGTGCGCACTGTAGCCTGACGCTACGGGCTTTACGGTGGCTGAGCGAGAGGACGCCCTCCAGGTGTTTACGCGCCACGAAGAACACGCCCAGAGTCTGGTGACAGGACTAGCTCAGGAGGTCACTGAGCATGAGCAGGTGGTCTATGGCACTAGGGCCTTGGGCAGGGGTCCTGCAAAAGATGACACGGGTGAAACACAGCCCCGCTCTGTGGCCGCCTGGGCCGTCGCGAGGGGGCAGGTTCGCGCTAGGATCCTCGGGAAAGGGAGCAAATGGCATTTTCTCGGCAGCGGTGATACATCCGAACAAAACGGAAGCCGAGCCTGGTGCCACGATGATGGTGTAACGAGCCCGGTCATCAGAAACAATCACTCTGGCCCTTGGCTCTCACCGTGCAGTGGACCCCCCTCGAGTCTGGCCTCTCCGATGTGAGCCCCAATGTGCTCTGACTCGAGCCCCAAAGGCTTCACACACTTCCTATGACCTGTACTGACCGCCCCAGACCTGTCCGGGAGCTGAGTGCGGTCCATCCCATGTGTCACATGAAGGACAGACACCTTGTTGGAGGCACTAATGCAGGTGGCCAGATTTATGCTTCAACTATAGAATCAACTTTGAGCATAGAGGACAGGGTGGTCCCAGGGTCAGAGGCGCGTGTCTGCGTGTGGGCGAGTGACCGCTGCCCTAGAAAGTGCCCACAACCATGACCACAGGGTCCCTAAGGGACAGGCTATTAACGTGGTAGCTTTTTGTCACAGTGCTACTTAAATATCCATGTTTTAAATAATCATTAACTGCTGGCTTTCCAAACGCCGATTTTCAATTTTTTAAGTTATAATCACAAAACATCAAGTTTTGACCTTTTAAGTTACAAACATTTCTTCGAAGTCTGAGTATTTCTGTAAACCGCCCTGCCAGGAGCACGCGTATCTGGAGAGACGATACTCGTGCTTTGGAAAATTCAAGACAGAGAGGACGCGCTGTGAGGGGACTAGAGGTGCAGGAGGGGGGTCTCCGGGAACGTGGCCGAGACCCCGCGCCGCCGTGCGCACGTGGCTCCGTGCGGACACCTCGCGAACGACACGTCCGTTTTGTTATGACTAAGCGAATAGGTTTTTAAAGAGAGCACGACTTTCGTTCAGTCTTACTTGAGTTCTTGTGAGCTGGTGGCCAGCATACTTCGAATGCTCTTGTCAGCCAGGGGGCAGCCGGACAGACTGTAAGACAGGCCGGAGAGCGGGTGAGTAGCCCCTCACAGCAGCTCGCGCTCCCGAACGAACACGACATAAAATTGAAATTAAAAAGTTTAATGCAGAAAAGCGATGGGGCAAGTGCTGTATATTGAATTTTTTTTTTTTGTATAATGAACTCTGCATATGTTTACATGTAAATTTTAAAAAGCAGGTCTGTTGATAAATCATCTTTAAAAGAACAAGATAAAAATATTTGCGCTCTTTGGTTGAAACGTTTGTAAAGAATTTTCCAAATTTAGATGGTTTATTTAAAAATAAAACACATTATACAACACACGAATTAGCATGCTTCTAAAGGTCAACATATAGCACTTAGAGGGTTGACACATAGTTCAACGTTTTTACTTCGACAGCATTGTTGAGGTAAGCTGAAAACAATAAATTGAAAAGACAGAATCCACCATGAGAAAAATGAAGTCACACCTTCTATGTGAGGCGTAATTACCAGTCACATGACCACTCCCATCACACCTTGGTGTTGGACATCTGCCACCAAACAAAAACAAAAACAGCCAAAATCGTAAGTATGTTTAAAAAGACTTTTTAAAAAAGTTTCATTGTTTCCAGTTTAGCTGCAATGTCTGCAAGGGGTTTCAGCGCCCTGAAGAAAAGCCGCGAAATGCACGGGGTTCAACGACAATGGCGTCTCCGCCGCACACAGCGCCCTCGACGCGAGCGCGCAGCGGCCTGTCACTGCGGAGCCGGCAGCTTGAGACATTTATGTGCTGCGAACGTCACATGCTCGAACGGCAAGGCATATACAGGTCGGTTTGTAAAAATAAGCCAGAGAAAGGGAAAGCGGAGGGCGCGACAGAGCCGCCTCGCTCATGCTTACGTTATCAAGTCCTTCTTGCTCTCCTTGCACTGGGGGTACTTGGGCTTGGGGCTTGGGATGGTCACCTCCCCCGGGTATCTCCTTTCTTCCAGAGCTTCCTGGAAGGGGTCCAAGTCTTCCGGCTGCAGGCGAAACACAGCTTCAGGGCCACACAGATGACAGCTCCACCCGCAGACCAGAGGCTGAGGAGGCCGCCTACCCCAACCTAACCTCTAGGGTCACGCTGTGTCTGTGTCCCGGACACGCAAGCTCAGTCGGCTCAGAGGGGACCTAGCTTTCGTGCTGGACCCTGAGACGTCGTCGCCTGCTCTAAGCCTCTAAACACGGGGTACCTGGTCACCGACAGGGCCTTGCTCAGCACCCCGCTGGCCACACCCACGAGAGGGACGGAGGGGCGCGCTGGCACCCGCGAGGGCCTGGACGCGGGGCCGTCCCGCCCAGTGTCCTCTCCCGCCACTGCGGCCCACCCTCCCCAGCTCAGCCCCCACGCGGGCCCAAAGATCCCCAGAGCGGCCTCACCAGCCGCCGCTCGCTAGTCTACGGCGCGCCTCACGTCCCGAGGCCCGGGGAGACCGACGCAGACCAACGCCCGGTTCTGAATTGCTCCCTTGCAGCATTTTCTCTCATGGAGAGTGGGCCCCGCTGCAGTAATCTAGGATCGCCCACAGAGGGCAGTGTGCAGCAAGCGTGCTTCCCGAACACGGCCTCTGCACGTCCGACAGTCTGCGTGATGAAAACGCGCCTGTCGGTTTATGAGGCTTAATATTAATTAAAATAAATCCGGAGATTCAATGACCAGGCCTTATTTGGTCATAACGGTTTAACACCATAGGAGAGAAAAAGAATACTCTGGAATTTAGCTGCCACTTGGATTCTGTTCTCTCTTATCAGGTGTGGATACTTAAATCGATTCGGAGAATAAAGATGATAGGCTTTAGGAGGGAACGGCCTTATAAACAGGTGCCTTCCCTGCCAATTCGTACAAATAGCTAATGTTCCCTTTCTCCCCACCTCGTTTCTGTACGGTGCTATTGCTTTGATGGTGGTCTCCCCACCGTATTCAAAAAGTTTTTATTTCTCAGTGAATAGAGATGTCATAATCTTCAGAATTAAGCACTGGAGAAAAGCTCAGTCCAATAAAGAACAAGTTTTTCCTTGTTTCTGTCCTTAGTCTAAAGGACACTATAACTATTTTAAGAACCTGAATTTGAAAATTTTAACCACTTTAAAAATCTGTTCTTGACACAGGTCTTTTGGGGATACTGTAGTCGATAAAGACGTAGGCGGCCATGTTCACCAATTTACTCAAGGCTGGGGTTTACTCTCTAAGTAGTTGACTTTTTTTAGAGAACAGACACTGACCTTAGCCTCGAAGAACTGGCTATTAGCACACAGCTAGCCATTTACACATTTAAAACTCTCGTTATAGTTCTCCACCTGCAAGGAAGACCCTGCATGCAGCAATGCATCCCCCGAGAGAACGGACTGGCACACTGTTCATACACATTCTTAGAGAAATCGCTGTAAGAAGACACTTGTTTAGAAAATAAAATTCACCATTAAAAAAGGCAATGGTTTCGCCAGATCAGTGTTCGTCACAAGTCTCTCCTGGGTCAAAAAAAAATGTATCCTAAGCTGTCGTCAGCTAAAGGTCATGTTTGAAGAGAAAAGACATTATCTCTTAGGGTGAGCGTCAGCGGCATTTCGTCCCAGTGGACACCAACTCTAAACCGTGAGTCGCCCGAGGCGGCTCGTGGCGAAGGACGTACAGTGATCTCTTTGGGGTCGTCCTCGTCGGCCCGGCGCGGCTTCATCTTGGTGTAGTCCACGGGCAGGTCCCAGCAGTCGCCCTCGCTCAGCTGGAAGCACCGGCTGTTCATCACCGCCTGCTGCTGCGGGGACATGGGCTCCAGCGGGGTCAGGATGGGGCAGCAGCCTTCCCGCGGCCTCTGCTTGTTCATGCTCAGGTCCAGAGTCCCATTCTCGTCCACCTCCATGTCAGGGTTCTGTGGGCAGAAGGACACGGTAACCCGGGGCTCCGTCCCCCAGACCGCAGCCCCGCCAACGGCCAGCAGCAGTCTGCACGGGGAAGCCCGCACTGCAGCCATTCCCCCAGGCCCCGGGGAGCGGAGGCGCCCTCCGTCCACGCCGCTGCCCCGGGCTTGGCAGCGAGTGTCTGCGAAGCTTCCCGCTGATCCGCTCATCTATCCTCTACCATCTCCCTGTCTTATTTATTTGTCTTCACTTACCTGTCCTTACCTGTCATCTAGCACGTCTATTAGCTATCTATGCCTTTCTTTTTTCCCCCAATCCATCTCTGCTTCTAGAAATAAGCCTGGCCAGAAGAAAATCAAACATATGCCTAATTTCAATTCCACTCCAGTTCAAATACCTACGAAGAGATCGGAATTATAATGTGTGTGTATGTGTACAGAATATAAATTTATGCTTAAAGTTATATACGCTTAAAATGGACAAATAGTTAAAAATTCTCCTTCGGTTTCATTGACACTCAATTTTCCAGGACGTGGAGAGGAAGAAAACAAGCCTTAGAGGAGAGAAGGAACTGGAATTTACTTTCTGGCCCAAAGTCCTGTGACGAACTCTCCGTTTTAGAGAGGGAGGTGTGCCATCTGCCACGGCGGTCACGGTCTGACCTACTGAGTCCCCACAAACCCGCGTTTAGTCAACTGGCTTAGAAAAACGAAGAGGTCCAGGGCGAGTTCCTTTTTCTGTTTTTGAAGATGCTTTGAAACAGATCGAGAATTCTTCAGAACCTGCCTCTCAGGAGGGAGAGCAGGAAGGACATGTGAAGGAGAGAAGACGAAAAATCGAAATATCCCGATAATCCTGCATTTTGACCCGGAGCTGCACACTCTGGAGCAGAAATGAAATTTCGGAGCAGGCGTGAGAGCTGCCACCCCCTCGGGTGGCGGCCTGGTCCTCGGGCGTGACCGCGGGGACAGGCGCCCGGAGAAGGCCCGTCCTTGAGGACTGCAGCGCCCCTGTGCCTGAACCCTTTGGTCAGAGTGCACTCCCCATGTCAGGCTTTCATATTAATTTAGCCTTCGCAATGTTGGGTTTAACTTTCATAAAGTGAAGAAAACTGGAAGGGGTTAAGGTCTTTCATTTCTTGCTACAGAAGCTCTCGCATGCTAGCCTCGCACCTAGCAGCCTTGATCACCATGGAAATTGCATGCCCGATGCTTCCCCCAAATCTGGGAATAAAAACATTAACCGAAAAAAATGCATTTGCCATTCATGAAATCGCTGACCTTTCTCCCTTCGTACAAATCCCACTTGTTTATAACAACTACTTGTGGGGCTGCGAGGTACAGTGCACACGGCCCGGCAGCCCTAGGGAACGGAGGAGACCCTTTGTTTTCTGGGGAGGAGGCATCGACCACATCTGCCTGCTCACGTGTCCTCTGCGATCACCGCCTGCATCTCCGGCCACCTTGTGGCCTCGCCGGGCAGCTCTAGCTGCAGCCTCAGTGTGAGCTGAGTCCACAGGCAAGAAAATCAAACTTATAGAACCAGAACCACTGCAAACACTGCGCTTCGTTTTGGCTCCTGAGATGTTTTCGAGCTCATGACGGGGGGCTGTAACCGCGTGACCGAGCGGTCCTTGCGGAAGTCGGATTTTCACGTTCCTTGTCCCCGGTCCTGGCGACCTGTTGGGGGCCTGGTGAGGGGCCAGTCCTGCCGTCTGACGCCCGCCTGTGCTCAGGCTCACGCACGTGGCTTCTTTCGGTTCCCACTCTCCGGGCAGGCATTTGAAACGTCTCCGTTCACGGAGATGGCCCTGGGTCTTAAAGAAGAGGGTCCACCGAGACACTTTAATCTGGAGACCCGAAGACCGTGGCCCCGGGCCATGCGCTGCCGCAGCGACTGAGCAGAGCCGCCGGGACACGGCGGCCGCACGCATGACACTGCGGGCCCCCCCTGCTCTG